TTTTTGTTGAACTGGATATTTCTTTTCTGGTGATTTCGAAACGCTTTTTACGTTTCAACCTTCCTTAGTTACATTATTCTTTTTAGTATAAAGGTAAAATCTATGGAGAATATTTTAAAATGATATTGATAGTGTCATTTGTCTGCTAACTTACAACGCCGTATATAAAAATGGTTCATAGAAATACTCATAGCAGATAAGACAATCTTTTGCTGGTATAGTAATTTATATCTTAATCATAATGAATGTGTTGAATCACGCAATTTATTACATCTGTTTCCGGCATTTAATTTAAAAAAAAATGAACAAACATTAGAATCTGTAAAGTTGATTTCTCTAAAACATGAAGGTGAATTATACCATTCATTTCGGTAGAAATGATTTGATTGTTTCTTTATTCCAAACAATGTTCAGCGAATCAAACATGCATTTATACTTCCGTTTCTCGGTCATAATTACAATTCTAAATGTCAGTGGAGTATATTTAAACAATAATATCTGTCTTAGCGGTGTTATCGGCTATTTAACACCGGTTTTGGAGTTTTGGTGCGTATGAATTTACCACGAAGGCCATAGGCCTGGATGGTTTATTTTTTCCACCAAAACGACAAAACCGGTGTAAAATAGCCCATAAACACCGCTAAGACCGATATAATTTCGATTCTAACACAAAAACAATAAGGAAGATCACTTATGTTATTTTCTCAAGAGGAAAAAACTGCCGGTGCCAATTTTTGTATAACGCTGTTCAATTTTCGCACCCTACTGTTGCTAAGATATAGAAATTATAAAACAAAAGAAATGTAAGTTAATATTCAGAGCTTGATGTTGTATTTTACGGCATGAACAAAAAAGAACAGAACAGAAATTGTGTTACTACTTGTATAAAGTACATAATCTACCTTACATTATATTCACATATATATGAAACAGATAAATACGGAATCCCTAAAGAAAGCCCAACACGGGAAAATTGAAAATGTTGCAGGCTCGGTTTGATTGAGCTTGTTCATGGACGGTACTGGAAAGTGCAAGTTACCGTCCACGCCCCCTTGCACCGGCTTAAGCAGAATTCAACATTTAAACATGAAATAGTAAAATTTTGAATTTAGAAACATCCACAGATGTATTCATACGGCGGTTATCATAGAACCTTCAATGTGACACTTCCGTGCCATTCCATGAAAAGCGGCGTATGGTCCCCAAGTAATAAAAAGCGTGAGCCCAAAACGAGAAAACAATGGGCGGAACTAAATAAAATGGGATTTTGAAAAGGGGTCAGAGGTTGTGAAGCCTGCGTATCACAGATAAGACGTCAAAAGACAAATTTAAAAAGCAGGCAACATATCCTAAGTGTGATTCAACATTATTCAAGTAGGAATATTGGAACCACCCAACTAGAAAATGCGGAAAAGTTGAAACTAACAATACCACAAGCACAACAATAATGTCGTGCCGAACGATCTTCAAGGATCGAAAATATAACATCATTGATTAAATGTACGGGGAGACTTTTTACAGCCGCCACACGGCACAAATAACACGGATGTGACTTACAAACAAAACCTGGATATCACATTTAACGTAAACAATACATGTAGTTTCATGGTAATAAACAAACATACACACAACCATATAGCTATAACCAAGGGAATTTACTGTATACATTTATAAATAAAATAGATTAATTATGAATATTTTTGAATCTGAAATAAAACGTTTAGAGACTGTACATTGATTTTAATTTCAGACATTATCAGTTAATGTACATACCTAATGGAAAGGGCTTCTTTAACAAATTGTGGTAAACGTATAAGCTCATTTTGAATTTTGAGTGTAACAGTTATCAAAATTATCAAAATATCACATTGTCATTAGTAAAAGCATATGTTCGTTGCTTAATATATGCTAAATATTTCAGAAGTAACAGTTTCATTAATGCATCAGATATGTTAGAAAGAACTTTGTTATTAACTTGGTTAAATTAATATTTTGTCTTTTATCAGTTCGCGTTTACATACATGTGTAATACTAAAAACAATCGTTTTAATCCTTAAAGTTTAAGTACCCCCAACCCTAAAATTCTGAACAATATTCATGCTAATCTAAGAATTGTTAGTAAATAACAAACCTTTTCTGATATTGTAACTATGTAACTATTTTAGACTCTTTCAATTCATTCGTCAGTTATAAACGAAAACAAGATTGATACACGGAAAATGTTTTACAAAACATATAGAAATGTATTTGTCTCCATTGATTAAAGTTGAGATAAATTCATAAACTTGCTGCAGATCTGCGTAGAAATTACAAAAAAGCCACAATGTTACAACGAAATTTGATGTTACAAATTTGCTTTATACAAAATGTTCATTACAGTACTGTTAGTCATAGTCGTATGTTTCTGCAATAGAATACACCTTGTCGTAAGGCACAACTAAATGCCTCATGCTTTGAGTTCTTATAGGTGAAGGAAGAGTACAATGACCTGTTTTGTCAAGCGAAACCTGAAACAGAATGAATACGACTTAACTTTGACACATTTTAGGTCTCCAAACTATTACACAATGATAAAATAGTGTCTCAAAAGTGCAAAATTTAAAAAAATCGTCAATACCGGTATCTGAAGAAAATGTGTTTTACCGTATGCACTTTATTTATTTATTTATTGAAGGTTGAAAATAAAACATGACATTTAACCACACACATCATCTTGTTTTCGGTCAAAAAAAACAACCTTGTATTTCTTACTCGATTTATTCACATTATATACATGTTCATGTATATACTTGCCTGAACGCTGGAGTTCGTTGGAAAAGAGAAGAAAATACGTGTTTTCTTCCCAGATACATCATATGTTTGATGGCAAACTTGTTTAAGTTCTTTTCCAAATAATTTGAATCCTCCATTATCTGCTGGAAAGATGTTCCTTTCAGAATAAAATGAAAATACAGGATAAATTAGAAGGCTGTGCGAAATAATTACACCTTGTTTAACCGTTTAAACAATTATATAGGAAAATGTTAATTATTCTTTCTTCACGTGTATTAAGTTGGTTGTCTTAATTCGGCTGCGAAGAAGAGTGTTATAAGATTTTGAATAAGACCCGTGATTTCCTGCTGAATGACACGATTTAATTTGCGTCAATTAAACAAATAGTACCTACAAACCCTCGCATGCATCAGCTTAATACTTCATGACCTATTTTAAAGTTTTAGCTTTGCTGCAAAAGGTTTTGTATTTACAATTACTTCAAATTTAGAAAAGGTTTTCTTATCTCTGTATACAAATAATGGACTTTGGAACTGTCTTTGTGTAATATGCCAATACTTAATATCTTAGAACCAGGCTAAAATTTAATTATGCGTTAACACGTTGTCTCCACAGAAAAGGAGAATGCCTTTTATGTCTTATATACTATGTTCCGATTTTGATTATTTATTGTCGGTCATTTCCTTAACATACCATACATATCCAATGCATTAGGATTAACTATTACGAGCTTGTCAGCAATGTCTATATAAATAAGGTACAATGTGACGATTCCAGTCTTGTAACAGTATTAAACAAGTACTTCTAGTTACAGTATAAAACAAGTACTTCTAGTACGGATGCCATATATTTTTCATGTCGTAATGCTTGCCGTTTAATTTCAACAACTGCACAGATCTATACAGACATTCGTCTTGGTAGAATTTTTATCGGCTCCTCTAAATGTATGCGACGCATAACTGACCGTTTCTTCGAAGTCATTTTACGAGTGTGTCAAGCATCGCTTGTTTTTTATGTTTATAAGCTATTATAACAATGTAGTTTGTAATGTCGCTTTTATATAATCTATATATTCGACTGCTATTAATTTATGAAGTTATTTTCGTTTGCACACAAATAAGTGTTTCTGCTACATCATAATTTACTTATTAAAATGTTTGACAAATTATACAGCCGTATATGAACGACTGTTTGCAATTTAACCCTCTTTCAGCGACTCGGTTTATATTATGTAAACAACAGTTAATGTAGGGCCATATAACCTGTCATATTTTTATAACTGATAATATAACCTAGATCACATGGCTGAATCTTTAAAACCTATAATATGAACGTATGGAACTGGGTTTTCATGATATTTGAAAAAAACAATAAGTAAGTACATGTAGATAGATATGCAATGATACTTACAGACCAAAGTAAGAATTAGTTGATGTCCCGATAGTCCCGAGGTCTCGAAAAATAAATGGTACATCCGATAACATGACAGAACTCCTAAAAATTTAGAAAATAAATAACAATTTTAGAAGTCCCAAACCAAAAACAAAGATGCTTTCTTTTTTATTGTGTAACGCATCATTCATGTCTCTTGTTCTAACATGCCAATGCGATTATTATTGCGACATAACAACTTTTGTATGCACAGAATTAAACAGTTTATTCCTTATACATTTATCAATTTGCTCATTTCCGAATCCAGTAGGCAACTTTAAAACTTTTGATCATTAAATTAATTTGCTATCTTTAATGGAAACCAAAAAAATTATTATTTGTAATTTATCATTTTATCTATGGGTAAATAGGAACAGATGCAGATGCCGAATTGATTTTTTCCCTACCACCACCCCAATGACTGCAGAAGCCCCTTTTAACAAGACCGTTTTAACAAGTTACAATATGTACGCAGTTTTATGTCAGTAAGATGTCAATTTAAGAATTGCGATTTTTTGGCCAATCATGTTTAAGTAGCTTATAAATGTCCATATGATAACATAATTAAATGGATTTTTCTTGCTTAAATGATAGTTTCAACCTAAGTTATTATTGATTCTTGCCTTGCATGTTCATAATATGATAACATCTATCTTTAACCGTTTAATATTAAAATAAAATTTACTTCAATGAAAAGTTATATCATATCAAATATATATTATTAATTAAAATGACAAATGAACAGAGCTTGAAAAGAAAGTGAATCAAGATAACATAAAACAAACAAACAATCCTTACTCCTGCAAATTAAGATCTGTAACAACTTCCAGCGTTCTTTTCCCGTACTCCAAGTCCGAAAATGTCAATGTTAAAGGCGTACTCATTTTTACCTAATATATACAATTGAAACATATTCAATTTGGCTATATTTCATAATAATCACGGACTTTATACGGATTGAAAGTAGTTCTATAACGTGGTTGTAGATGTTAACAACAACAGACGGTGGAATCTTTGATAATTTATAACGAATTTATATTTTTGACATTCAAAGGAAAATAAAGTCAATTTTGGTAAAATTATGATTGAACATATCTTTGACAATCATAATCTATTTTAAAATGTTTACTGGTGTGTTAATTTTAATCAAGACCGAAAAAATGAACAGAATGACGTTATGTACCATAATAATAAGTGTATATTACTGTTACATCTGCAAAACTTAATTTATGTGGGCTTTTACAACTCTCGGCATTGAATAACTATTTGTTAACATGTTTAGTTTCTCAGCGTTGTTTAGACCGAAGCATCGTACCGTTCTGTGTATTCTTTCAATTGTGTTTGAGGTTCTTACTCGGAGTTAGACGGAAATGGCCGTAAATATGCAGTTGTCCTAAATATAGACTTTTATCACATTATATGCAAGGATTTGCCTGCTTTATTTGATTAACATTTTTTATAAAGAATAATGCTTTGTGCAAGATTCATTTGACCTTGTATGGATGCATATTTATATTCGTCTATGCTACAAATTTGCTTAACATTCTGATGCCTGCCCAATTAAGAATATGTCATAAAATAAGTATACTATTAATACCAACCGGTGTGGAAAATACTCTCTTTGATGAAACCTTTCTAACATAGGCATAACCCTCGTCATCTGCATTGCTATTGCTCCCATTACCCTTCAGCCCTTCGCAGTGCCCTGTTAACTCATGCACTCTTCCACTGTAATAGTCATCCTGTCATAGAAAAAGGTCTTTTAAATTTTGTAGAGAAGGCTGACATGACGTCAATTTTTAACTTGTTTACGATAGCAAATTAAAATAAATAAATAAAGAAAGAAATAAACAATAACATTTATAAATCATAAATGTACTATGTATTTGTACAATTTAATATTTGAATTTTTCGTGACTAAAATGATTTCAGAACATACTATAAATATCAAGTGTATGGAAAGCACATTCAAACATTCCTAAGGTAATCTACAAAATAATCACTTACCGTAGAAAGAATCTTCTGAGCACATGATCTTATCTTAGGATGTTTTTTCACGATCTTAAAAATCCCAGTCCTTACAAGGGGTCTTAATCAGAACAGCTGGTTGGGCAAAACTACAAGTATAGCAAAAATCCAAAAGCGTTCAGATTTCATGGTATCTATTTGAAAATGTAAGACGTACAGTACACTAACTGTTATCACCACAACAATCAATGTTTTATATTCGTCGAAATGTCACGTGTCAAGAAAAATGGGTGGGCGTTAAAGTTAGGAACTTTGAATAATTGCTGAGGTAGATACTTGCCTTTTGTCGTTGTTGTTTTTATAACTATAATTGCTTGAAGGCTCAATATGACAAACTAGGTCTGTCTTTCCGTAGAGACCTGGCATGTGTTTTATGATATTTAAGTTATGGTTTTAGAGCATGTTACATGATAATCGCCTGAAGAAAGAAGTGCTGAATAAAAAGAATTGTCATAATAGTGATAAAATCTAAGCAAAGTTATATTTTGACTTACATTGAAAATATTTAATCATTGCATCTTTACTAATCAGAAACAAAATATGGTTTTAGAGCAGGTTACATGATAATCGCCTAAATAAAGAAGTGCTGAATATAAAACAAGTAGCAAAATCTAAACAAAGTTATTGACTTACATAAAAAATATTTAACCATTGCTACTTTACTAATCAGAAACAAAATATGGTTCAGGTAAAAAATTTTTAAACTATAGTAGGACGTTTTTGGCCAATAAAAATGAAAGCATATCTATGGCAAAATAGGCATTTTATTCATTAACGCACTTTAGAGACCCTCTATTTTTTCTACTTGCTTGTAAGTTCGAATTATATACTCAATACTGTGTTGCTTTCATTGTGTTTGCATTTAAAATAGAGTAAAACAGAATCCCTAAAATTGAAAATCTTGCAGGCTCGGTTTGATCGAGTCTGTTCATTGATGGTACTGGAAAGTGCAATGTATCTTCCTTGGCCCAATGCACCGGCTTCATTTATTATAAAGGTTGTAATGAAAAGCCCACGTGACACCTGATGTTTATAAATAACATTACAAAAGGTAAAAATTACATCCTGATGTATTTGGTAGCTTGACTAAATGATTTCAATTGTATCTTACTTAAAATAGTAAAAATCAATGTATAGTATTATCATTAGAACCAAAATATAAGTGTTTGTAAATCTTAGTTACAAAGGATGAAACATACGCGAAAACAGCACTTAATCTTACAAAAAAGTATTACAATAAAAATATTTTATATTTTATATTTTTATTTTATATATGTCGTTTATAGTAAAAGATAAAGATATGTTTGCAAAAAAATGCAGAAATTATCAAAAGAATAGGAACATAATTATTAAATCTTTCAATTTTAAACATGGGGATAGATTTTTCACCTTCACAATATTAACATTGTGGTTAGAGAAGGGAAATCATATCGAACATGTTGATATAGTTTAAAACTGACCTCTAATGGGTTACCTCTATTACCTGTGTAATTTGTAATAGAATAGACCAGAGCAGTTTTGGCGCAAAGTAATCTTCTTTTCCTATCTTTCACTGATAATGATATTACCATGTCTCGTTATTACAATCATTTGTATAAAAATGTTTAGTCCTATCTGTCACAGATGGTGATAATATTATGTCTCGTTATAACAATTATTTGTAATTAAAAGTCATGACCTTTCTGGCACAAATGATGTAATTAATATGTCCCATTATTACAATTATTTTTAATTAAAAGTCGTGTCCTTACTGGCACAGATGATGATACTGTCATGTCTCGTTATTACAATCATTTGTATATAAAATAATTGTCCTATCTGTCACAGATGATGTTATTATTATGTATCGTTATAACAATTATTTGTAATTAAAAGTCATGTCCTTTTTGTGACAGATGATGTTATTGTTATCTTGGGGTAATTTTAAGACAGGTTTTAGATTTATAGCTTAGTTAAGGCCTGAAAACGAAATAAGTTTTTATCTTAGAATTCTCTTTCTCGGACTTTTCACACAACCTATAAGAAATTATGTTGAAAACCTTCTTGAAAATTATTTTTCACGTACCAAAAAATAAACTGAGTATTGTTATTTCCAGATTGGTTAAAATTATTCAAAAGTCAGTTTTCTTATCTTTTTATAAAAGTGGAAAATGCTCCCAGTCTTACTAAATTTCAGAGATGCTGCCACTTGGACTCAGAAGATTTGCTGTCTACATATTTAAACAAAATACATCGCATTAACTTTTAATATTATGTTTTTTAAATACACCTTAACAAAAGCGTAAATATTCAATTGAAATATACTTTTCACTAGACACAAGTCAATCCTTTGTTCTTCTATGTTTTGAGATTTTTTACAAATGTTCTTCAATAGCTCAAATAATAAATAGTTAGGTCATGTAGATATACAGCTTATTAGAAATATGTTGATGGCGCAGATGTGTCTTTTTAAGGGAAATTAATTTGTATTTAATTTAAAGTACTACATTGATAACATTAGGGGCCTGGATTTCTTCATTAATTGCTGAATACAATATTTGATTTTTTAAACCAAAAGCCTAAGTTTATGAACATGTAGAAGTCAATATATATATTGGTAATTTTGAGTAGTTTGTTAAAGGACAGCATGTAAATTAATTTTGTCATGAAAACATTCGACGTTTGCTGCCATTCCAAAATATTTTCTGTATGTTTAAATAATTTAATTTGAATGTTTTGTAAAAGTGTGTTTAAAGTGCATAGTACTAAAATTGTATTATATATAAAATATGTAGACAATAAATTTCCTGAGTCCGATTGGGAGCATCTCTGAAATCTAGTAAGACTGGGAGCATTTTCGATTTTTTATAAAAAAATAAATAAGAAAACTTTTGAATAGATATAATTGAAATCAGTCCAGACAAATGTATAATCTTCAATCAGTTAATGCCCTAGTACCTGTATAATAATTTGCAAGAATGTTTTTTAACCTAATTTCTTATAGCTTGTAGAAAAAGTCCGACTGGTGGCATTTTTAGAGAAAAAACTTATCCCGTTTACAGCATAAAATAGGCAATAAATTTAAAATCTGTTTTTACAAATACCTCAAGGACTGTAGCCATTCTTAGGTGCGCTACATTATATCTTAATATTCTTATTATTTCTTATAATAAAATTGTATTTTACCGTTAAGTCGACGGATTATCTACATAAAAATGGTCTGAGTGGGAGCATTCAGAAGTGTGCCAGAGGGACGTTGTATCCTACCTGTTAATATCTACAAATTTGGATTCTTTAAAGGTTTATATTAAAATAACCTCATCAAATAAATTTAAACAACACTGTCTGATCACTAGATGCGTTAATGTTCACCCAAGGTACAACTACACGCGCATTTCTGAAACACTGTTTTGTTTTTTGCCAGGTTTGTAGCCGATGAAAGCGTTAAATTTTGGCCTATTTTTAAAGTATTTATCTCATAGACATTAATTACGTCGATATCGTTTCTGATGTTAACAAAAAGAATGGCGGAAGCATCAACAAATCAATATGCTCGCAATTTTTCTGTTGGCGAGGAACACACACAACTTAACAAATAGATGAGACACTTTTGCACATCAGACCGGCGGACCAAGATCATTCTTTCCCGCGTACACTTTAAAAAGGCGGACGACCTGTGCCTGGGGATAGCTTTCACCCGGTTTCACCGATAACTGCTAATTTTCTGTCGGCATAGTATGACTTTGTCATCGTTTTGTGTATTAGAGGAAACGATCATTCATGATCATTTATACTTACATGGCCATCTAACGTTAATTTTTGAACTGACTTGTAACCTCTGGCTCTTCGTGTATTTATTAGAAATTCGTCTGAAATGGAGACAACCAATGAGGCAAGCAGAGTTAAATATTAATTAAAAGAAAAGTCATTTAAGCTTGTACTTACGCATGTATAAAAAAATTTTGTTTTTTTATCGATCATACTTTTTTCAACCAATATTCTCCCCCGTGGCTACGGTACTCGTTAGAATACTGTTTTTGAAGTTTTTGACATTTACTCTCGATTAATAGGAAAAAACGTATGTCTTATGTTACAACAATATTTGCTTCAGTGTATCAAATGTGATGTCTTTTTTAATTTAACAGAGAATGGGTGGGGGTATTTTTCCCTTAGTGCTCAGGAATATAGAATTTGCACATAAATTCGCACTGTAATAAAAATAAAACATTGTTAAGTTAAAGTTTGCCCGTTTACAACAATAACGTAATTTTATTGCTAACAAAGCATGCTAAGAAGGAAAAAAATACTTACAGAGGAATAATAATTTGTCTGGATCAAATCATTAAAATGCAGTTATCTTTAATATTCTGATTGCAGATTTATGGCAAATTGAATTATGACTGGGATGTATCCACCATGCTGATAGATGTCTTAAATGATTTTTCATATGCTTACATTGTATGTCTTTTGATATTTGTCATAAGTGTAGATTCTAAAATGTAAGAAGTAAGTGTCTGGATAGAATTAGGCCATGTTTATAATGTTTTACAAGATCGAGTACCATTTCAGAGCAGGTAAAATCAATGCAATCTAAGTGGTTGTAGCTACACATGTGCGCGGATTTGTTACGTGCGGATTCAAACATACGAGGAAATGTATCCATCGCAAAAGCGCTATCTTAAATGCGAAATAATTTATAGGAATAAGTCTTTGATGACAGGAATTTTGCATAAAATGTATGCATGATTTAGGGAATTATTAGTTACGAATTTGATGCAAACAATTTGTTTATTATAAAATTCAGAAATTTTACTATCCGTTATTTCGTTGTTGATTTTCTTTCTTGTTTTTGTTAAATAATATAACAATATACGCTCAAACTGCTTTCTCACCTCTTTCTAAATAAACATAAAATCGATTTTCGTTATTGACAGCCACGTCATCAATAAGCAGACGACATATAAATAACTTAACGAAAGTGGCGTCTGTGGCCGAGCTGGATTCTTTCATGAGTGGAAGCTATCAAAATCTTACTAATATTATCATTATATAATTTTTTATATTCTTATTTTATATTCATGTATGTCGTTTTCAGTAAAATATACAAATATGTTTGCAAAACTATTTTCAGATATTATCAAAAGAATAGGTACA